AATTCTAATTTAAATCATATCTTCCTAATATCAAGTTGCCTTATAAAAACCTCAACATCAATTTCCCTGACAGAAGACAGAAAGTGTATATAACATGTCTAATCTACCACAAGAAAACTGATCATACAATCATAGAATGGTTTGGGTTGGATGGGACCTTCAAGATCATCTAGTTCCAAACTCACTGCGATGGGCAGGGACATCGTTCACTACACCAGGTTGTTCAAAGCCTCATCCAACCTGGCCTTGAACACTTCCAGGGATGGGGCATCCACAGCTTCTCTGGGCAACCTCTTCCAGTGCCTCACCACCCTCAAAGGCAAGAAGGTCTTCCTTACATCTAATCCAAATCTACCCTCTTTCAGTTTAAAGCCATTACCCTTTGTCTATCACTACACGCCCTTGCAAGAAGTCCCTCTCCAGCTTTCTTGTAGGCCCCCTTTAGGTACTGGAAGGCTGCTAGAAGCTCTCCCTAGAGCCTTCTCTTCTCCAGGCTGAACAACCCCAACTCTCTCAGCCTGTCTTCATAGGAGAGGGGCTCCAGCCCTCAGACCATCTTCATGGCCCTCCTCTGAACTTGCTCCAACAGGTCATGTCCTTCTTATGTTAGGGACCTTAGAGCTGAACGCAGTATTATTTTATTCCACATTCACATTTTCAGTAAAGAGATTTTGAAACTTTTTGACATTTTCTTTTCTGAAACTTATTTCTTGATATCTTTTTGCTCCTACTTCATATCTGGGTTCAACACTGATCTCAATTCCCAAACTTTCAAAGGTCCTTTCTTAAAGTGTGATGGGTGAGGTAGGAGTGGGATGGAGACAGGCTTTATGGAAATAGTTGCCTTTCCAAGGTATGAAAGGGAAGAGCTGGTCTGGACACCACCTCTGCCCCCCATATGGCTTGGTAGTATGTAAGTGCTTTCTCCATAGCAGTATCACTAAACTGCTTTGAAAATACAAGAGATTCACGCTGCACTGTATTTCCTCTGTGGGCATTGCCAGGAAGACTTTCTTTCTCAATGTCTTCCACATCTTTACAGTCTTCATAATGTGCTTGATTTGGAAGTTCACATCTGGCTTTCCCTAGACCTATCCTATTCCTCAAAATATCAGCTGAAATTAAGTGATAAGTAGCTTACAGAACAGACATTCTCTTCTTTAATTCCATAAGATTTCACTCTTTTCAATCCTGTAAAGCAAAAGACGGTTAATAATTTGGAGCCAGTTCAGTGAAAAACTGATAGCTTTGCCTCAAAGTGATTTGGAGTGATATACTCCAATACTAGACAAATCTGGTTAATCTAGCAAAGAAAGACTAAGGGCAAGAGGACACAATAACATTATTTCAGTACAGAAAGATTGTTGCATGGAAGAAGGCAATCAATGATTATCCATAGCCACTTCGAAAGGATAAAAAGAAAGCTTAATTTGCAGAGAAGCAGATTTGGGTAGGATACTTGCAGAATCTGCCCGAGCTGTCAAACTGATGAGCTACTGAAACAGGGACATTGTAAAATCTCTCAGGGAATGTTCTAGGGCATTCATGAAAGAATTCAATAATCTTTCAAGGCTTTGCCTGGCCCTACTTAAATGTAATTAATCGTTATATTATGACAGGGACTGAAGAACAGTGCGTTTATATTTATGCTTATATATACTTATACACTAATATTACACAGATATGTGTACTAATATGCACTGATGTACTTTATATGCACACTAGCAACAAACTAATGTACAATGATACTCTACTAATACACATTCATAATATACATTGCTAATAAACATCTGCATACATATAATTATGTCACTTCAACTTGTCTCAAATTCCTGAGTGTCCCTAAGACTGACAAAGCTCAGTAGAAATGAATATGTTCTCCCATCTTCCCAGTAGAGAGGACTAGTTTGAATGGCTTTATTTAAATTCCTTCGCATTATTTAAATTCCTTCGCATTCTTCCTTACCTAAATCAGTCAGTCAAGAGACATGCTAGCTCTGATTCCTGGATGCGCAAACCGCAAATGCCAGCTCAGGGAGCTCGTGCACTTACCTCCAGGAGCAGAGGGTGGGCCTAAGCCGACTTCACGTGACTGGACCATGAGCAGTAGAGTCAGCCCTTCTCAAAAGAACTGTATAACAAATCTATGTGTGTGGAAAGAGCTGAGGAACTCAAATTACAAGTATAACTGAAGAACTGTTTTTCATAATTGTGGTTTAGCACCATAGACACGTATGGGTGCTCACACAGGTGACTCACATCACCAGTACGCTATGTGATCCAGCAGCTTTTTGGATAGACATTTGTATAGGTGAGATAACAGGACTGGCTGGACAAAACGGACTAACCTGAAACCATCCTGAAAGCTAGAGATTGCCTTAGCCTTCACAATTAAATATTGTCCGACTCTTAAAGGAGCTGGGAATTTTGAACAGTTCTAGAAACTCCCAGATGCAATTCCTGCTTTGTCTAGTCCCGTTTATATGTTTAAGTGTGTTAATAAATATTCCGTGTGACGTGTCCCATACAGGACCTTTTCTAGGTA